GGCTGCGGGGCTGCGCGGCGGAGGAGCCGGAGGGCGCAGCCGGGGCGAGTCGGCGGCGGCGGCTGAGCGCGGAGGACGGCATCTCCTTCGAGTACCACCGCTTCCCGGAGCTGCGCGAGGCGTTGGTGGCCGTGTGGCTGCAGTGCCCCTCCATCAGCCGCATCTACACCGTGGGCCACAGCTTCGAGAACCGCGCGCTGCTGGTCATCGAGATCTCCGACAACCCCGGCGAGCACGAGCCCGGTAATGCCCCGCGCCCCGTAATGCCTCCACCCCTCCGCTCCCGCGCACTGCGCGTGGTTTGGGGACACACAGTATGTGTGTGTTTTCGGCATATATATAATGTGGATGTGTGCATGTATGTATATGTGGTGTGTATGTATGTAGCCACCCACATGGATTTACTTTATTTTCCTTCCATGATGTATGAATTCTACAATTCTGCATTTTTCAATTTACAATATATGTAGTGTGTGTATGTGTGTGTAGTACATGTGGGTGGGTATGTCTGTTTGTGGATATATAACTGTATCTATATATACACACACATACACACCCCGTGCCCTGCAAACACACACACATGCTATGCACACACACACACATATATAGTGCATGTGTGGATACATGTGCATGTGTGTGTTTGTTTGCATGTGCACGTATAGGTTTGTGTGTGCGCTTGTGTGCATGCATGCGTGTATATGTGCATGTGTATGTGTGTGTGTGCATGTGTATGTATTATGTGTGTGTATGTGCACATGTATGTGTACGTATATGAACATGTGTGCGCACGCACATGTGTGCGCATGTGTACATAAATGTAAAAATCAGAATCCGCCCGTGAAGCAGCATCACAATGCTAGTGTCCAGGAGAGTCTTAAAAGCACATTGGGTTCCAGGGTATAATTAGCAGTTGTACCAATTATTTGGGGGGGTGAAGAAATGAACTCTGCTGTGTTACTGCCTATACTAGCCCCTTTGATGTGGTTAAAGCTCAGGTGAGTGGAGCTGACTTGTGGGGTGAGCTGCTTTTATATGTGCAGGCAACACTGTTTTAGGCTGAAGATATTAATCCTGTTACTGCCTGTAATATGCCATTTCATATAGTTAAAACTCAAGGGAGTGTAGCTGACGTAAAATCAACCTACTTTACAGGTGCAGACAACATCTTCTAACCAATTTGGATTTACTCATTTGCATACACTTTTATTTTTAAACATTATTTGAAAGGCCTTGTCTTGAGAGGCGCCTGAATCTGAGACCTGATGCAAAGCCCTTGAAGCAAGCTAAGAAGCTTTTTATTACCTTCAGTAGGTTACAGATGAGGCCAACGTGAGCACTCATTTCAGTGGGTGCCAGGCATTGCTCAGGATCAGGTCCTCCTTGACTTGGGGTTTACTTTTAATGGTTTTTTTGAACCTCAGGGTATTGTATTTCCCTGCTTTGCATTCTGGGGAATTACATTGCTGGTGACATGCTGCAGCTACTAAAATCCATTAAAAATACGGCAATGTAGGATAGCTGGTATGAAGACAAAAGGCAAAATAAAGAGGAATATATGAGGTAATATTAACATAATTTTGGAATGAAAGTAAAATACTGAAATGGGAAAAGTGGTATATGTTTTAGTTCTGGTGCTGTGGCCATACTGACAGTGAGTATGAAGTTTAAAAGAAGGTAAGTGACATTTCATTATTACGTAGGCTGTGGCTGTGTTGGTCTAAGGACAGACAAGGATCTCGGGGTAAATCAGGTACATGTAAATCATTTACATCAGAGATGTACAGCACTTGGGTAAATCTGATACACCTGAAACATTTCATTATTATGCACTTACGTGCAGGTGTCATTGTACACTTATGAGAGTTACTGTTGATGTACTTTTTAGGAGTTTTAAACTTTCTTTCTGTTTGTGCCAAAGAGGAAGAAAAAGGCTATTTCGCATGCGGTGGTATGAGGGAATATGATTTTGCAATTAGATCTGAGCCTCTCATTGAACTCAGAGGGATTCGCCACTAACATCAGAGAAAATAGGATCCGGCCTAAATCAAAAAATCAAATTCTGTTCTGTGTCTGGTAACAACAATGATGACAATAATAATAGTGGACCATGGAAAGGAAACATTCCTAGGGTTAATTCTGGAGGAAATGGCTGCAGTGAATGTTGAGGGTGCTCAGCATCTCCTTGCGTAGGCCCTTATTTTTATTAAAAATGTAAGGAATGGTTGCTTACTGCACCATCATTTCTGACTCATAGGTATCCTCAGAGAAATACAAGGTTTCACAAATGACTGTTTTCTCCTAAAGGTTAAACAGGATTGAAACCCGGGTGAATTAATTGTGTGGAAAAAGCTTTAATATAGTCGCAGAAGGTTCTGGGCGCCTCTTGAAGGGGGCTTTGCTCTGTCAGCTTTCGTTACCTTCAGTTCACTCAAGAGACAACTTGGGCCTGGATATGTGAGGGGACTAAGGAGTTGATCCTAAACCCACTGACATTATTGCAGATGCTGTTAGTGATTTCAGTGGGTTTTGGATCAGGACCTTGCTTCCCAATGGCTATAGCAACAGGTATATTAGAATATGCTCTATCATTTCTGTAGTAAAAGAAGCTGAGTCCTGTATCAACCCTGCCAGAAATAAGGCTTCAACTCCTTATTTTATTTGTTCTCATCAGCAGTCCCCACATACTGGTAATTTTTTCAGAGGAAGGGAGTACTTGCGTGAAAAAGGATTATTCACATTATTATAGTTTCTGGGCTTGCTTGATTTACTGAAACCGTCATTTAATGATAGACGATTTACAGATTTTTGTGGCAGGCCAAGGAGTGGTGACCCACCCTATTCCTACAAAAAAAATCCTGAATCACTGGATTTCTTTCAAAAAAAAAAAGAAAGAAAAAACAGTGGCCAGTGGATTAGTGATCTGCAGAAAGCTGATAATCATAGAGCCTTGCTAAGAAAGCAAGACTGAGATTTGAATTATCCAGTCAATTGTTGAACAATGGAAACATTTTGTATTTGACTGTACATTTTGGGAAGTTCACAGTTCTTACAGAAACACCGCTGCAAAAGTATCATTTAAAAAAAGTTTTTCTACATAGGTTTTTAACGAGTTTGAAAGAATAAAGAAGCAAAATGCAACCTTATTGATTTACTGTGTGCAGCTGAAATGGCAAGCTGATTATAATCAAGTGTATTCTTTGCCTTTGGCCTTGGATACGCAAAGGTTTGCACTGATGTAATCGGTCTTTACACTGGCAAGAAAAGACATTGATACATGTCACCCAGCCATACACCAGTGTAACTGACTTGTTTCTACTGTAGAACAATCCTGCCATAAATCAGAGGTAAAACTAGATTAATAAAGGAAAATAAAGTAAGTCCATGGATATTCTGGGGTTTCTATTTGTAATAGGCAAGAAGGCTATTGCCTATTCCCATGCCACCTAAGGGTGAGATGCTAGAATAACACTTACTGTGAGCAACTATTCCTTCTAGCTCCTTGTTTCTCTTCCCTGATTACAGTAAAAATTACACCAGTGTACAAAGCTTGTGTAAATGACAAAGGTGCAAGTGTGTCCAGGTTCTTGTCAGCATCTATACATATGCACACACCGCAGCATCATGAACATAGCAGTTATTACAAATGTATCATGGTAAGTGCCCAGATCCATATGAATCCACAAGCACATGTATTGGCATATGCTTTAAAGGAAACCATTCATGAAAAGAAACAGTTTAATCTAGGCACAATATAAGAAAGCACGTACGAGAAATGGAAATGATATTTATACAAGCATATATCAAATTACCCATGCAGCTGGAGTGATTCCTTAAGGATTAATCTTTTGCTAGGATAAATATAACTTAGGAGGGAATTTTTTAGAACCCATAATATTACATTAGAGAGAGGAATGGCTATGTAGAAGTGAGTCTTTTTTTGCATAAAGTGTAAAAAGTATCTTGGCAAATCTTTGAAACACAGATTATTCATTTAGAAAATCAGAATGGCCTTTTCTGAGCTGTTCCCATACATCTGCTTAACATCAAAGGTGGGAGAATGCTAGAAGTGTCTGATCATACATTAAGTATTAGCACATTATGCTGCCTTTGTGCAAACGTGAGTACGGTACAATTAGAAGAAAATGAGAGTGAAACTTTCCCCTACATATCCCTTGTGATTTGAGACCATGAGACTGGATTCTGATTAATATTATTTAAAAGTACCATTTGTGGTGACCATTTCTCCTGATTAGTACAGAATTTGATTGGGAAAGCTGATCTCACTGGCAGAAAAAGGAGTGGTTGGGCAAACAGAAGTAAAACCAAGAGATGAAGACAGTTCAGGAAGCAGTTCTAGGTAGAGAATAGTGTCAATGTTCATAACATCAAATCCACCGGCATGCTCAAGAAAGGCGAGAGAGAGGAAGAGCCAGATTCAGGCAAGACAAATTCACTGACTATACCTAGCAGAATATTTTTATTGCTGTTAAGTCAAACCCAGGATAGGAATGATCAAGGACACTGAAGACAGGTGGTTAGGTGAGAAACATAATTTTCTCCAAGTTGCTGCTGAAAATGGTAACATTGACGTGAGACAATAGATGGTGAGGTCAGATGAAGGAACACAGAATCTTGGGTGGGGGATAGTAATGCAGTAGTTCTGAAAGTATGGGAGAGAAATATAAGCTGAAAATAAACAGATGATTATTTCTATGGTGGAGAAAATGCGACCCCACTAAAATCAATGGCAAAACTCCCATTGAGTTAAAAAGGGCTAGGTTTTCACCCAAAGAATCTTGCCTTCTTAGTAAAACAGGTTGGGATATTCAGGTGAAATGTACTGTACTGTAAAAAACAGCTTTGGTTGACAGATTAAAGGTAAGACACTGAAGGAAAGGTATTATATTGCTTTTTTTCTAATAGCTATGTGCATTTTCTCCACTTTGTGTATAAAAAAATAATTTTGATTATTATTTCAAGAATTGTTTTTGCTTAAGTTCATTTGCAGTATACTAGAAGGGAGCATGCCTCTGTAGCCCTGAAAGGGAGGACCTCTGGTCCCTGCTAATAAGATTTTTACTATTTTTTTAACCAATGACTCTCTAATGTTAAATGCATAGCAAGTCCAGGGAGTAACTGAAATGGTGTATGCCTGCATAGCATAGTGATTATATCATTTCCCTGAAATAGGGGACACTTGGGTTCTGATGCATTTTGCTCCTGCTTGCTTGCTTTCTCCAACT